ACCATCTGCAACCCTATATTTGAAATAATCTGTTTGAAGCTTTAGGTACGGTGTTCCTACATCTAAATTCTATTCTTTCCCCTGGCAACTTAGTTAAAACTCAGAGGAAGAGAGATGATTAGCAAATGGATATTAAGAGAGCGGAGAGTTTCCTTTTTCCATGCATAGGGGACAGACTGAGAGTTCTTGTGTTTGTCCCGTGGCAGGTTTCCTGTCAGCCATTCTTTGCTAATGTTTTTTTGATAATCATGAAGGTATGATCACATGATTAGTTAAAAAAAACAAAACAGACAAGATTTGTGCACATGCTATAAAAGGCTTTTTATTCTCTTATTTAAAACTAACATCAATCATGGGTCTTAAAATCATAATTTTTACAAATCAGTGTCTTGGTGGTACCATGACCTTTTCATATGCCTAGCTGTACTGTTCACACCATCACAGACAAAAACTAAATATTTTCTCTTTTTTCATGCAGAATCTACTTGAAGTATGGGAGTCCAGTTAAAATGATGGAGAGTTATATTGCAGTTCTTACAAAGGGGATCTGCCAGAGTGAAGAAAATGGATCTTTTCTCAGCAAAGACTTTGATGCACGAAAAGCTTACCTCGCAGGTTCAATCAAAGGTTAAAAACAAATCTATAGTCAACTGATTATATATGTCTTTTTAAAATATGAAACCCACAATGCCATTCTGCAGTTATATAAAATAGATTTTTATATCAAGTCCCAAATTCTGTTCAGATAAGAAACAGGTCATATTTGTTAATTTATATTCTGAGTATAGTGATATCTGGTGACTAATCGACAAGTTTTAAAGAAATATTGCCATATACTTTTGATACCATAATGTCTTTCTTGTTCCATAGATATAGTATCTCAGTTTGGCATGGAAACAGTTATTCTATTCACTGCACTGATGTTAAAGAAAAGAATTGTTGTATATCACCCTAGAATAGAAGTCATCCAGGAGTTTACCAGGTATAAAAAAAAAATTTGAATTAAGTCCTGGTTCTGAAAAGTAGCACACACCTATAAAAAAAATTGAATTAAGTCCTGGTTCTGAAAAGTATCCATATTCAGGAAAGCACTGATGTAAATGCTTACAATTAAACATGTTCTTAGGTTCCATTGATTTCATAATATGTGCTTAAGTGCTTTGCTGAATGGGGGCCTTAAAAATAAAATGAATATGCTAAGTCACTGATTAATACAAGAAAAAATACTTAGTTTCAAATCCTAACTTAATTTCTTTAGGACTCTGCCTGCTTTAGTGTGGCATCGACGGGACTGGTCAATTCTTCATTCATATGTTCATTTACATGATGATGAACTGGAAGCATTAAAGACCTGCACAGGTAGTGATAATAAGTTATCAGTCAAAACCTTGTTCATAACGTTAATTTCATTTGCATTGGAACAACACCTTTTAATAATACTGTCATGAAAAGTCTGTTGCTATTTCCATAATAAATTCATTTTGAGGATTTTTAATTCTTTAAATCTGTCATAGAAGTTAAACTATATATATTTTTCTTTTTAAAAAGTATTTTTCATTTTAAATTACAGATTAGATAAATAGTTCTATTGGTGGTTCCATCCAGATGGATTGTCTTTTCCCTTCCCCCAAGGTGCTGTAAATGATTTTCTTTAGTTATTTAGGAGATATTCTCTAAGGATTGGCTCTATTAGAATGTAATTCATATTACAAATATTACAAACTGTGAAATAGTTATTACCAAATCATCTTTTGCTAATCTTCCTGTGGCCTCTAAGTGGAAATGGTCACACAAAGTGAAACAAAGAATTAATCTTTCATCTGCTACAAGCTGCTCAGCTATTTGTAGACTACAATTGGGAGAATACAGTATAGCCCAACCATAGGGGAATGGTTTAAAAAAATGTGGGAGATTGTTGGTACAGAAAAATTAATACCAGTTCTGTATCCAGCAACGTAGACAGGACAAAGGGATATATAGATATTTAGTTACCTTCTGTTCAGAACTCAAATTAGATTGTCCTAATCTGTTCACAGCTGTTCAATTTTTTTGAATAGCAACGTTTGATACACATATTTAACATATTATTTATAGAGATTTCACTCAATTTAATAAAATCACTAACAACATCATAGGTGTTGTAATGAAGCTCACTTTATAATATAGTAACACCCTGTTAAATAGGCTTGATTCCTGTATAATGTCTCTTTAAACAAAAGGTAATTGTTGTAATGATGTTTTATTTCTGATATTTACAAATCCTTGCCATGTAAACTTATTAATTTCCTAAATAAATCGCTTAATAGGTAGGGAACTGAGCTTGTTTCCTTTAGATGTTGATTTGGGTCAGATAGCATGAAACATTTAATGCACTGTTAAAGGAGGGGTTAATAATGTGCTTTTCACTCAAATAAAATTATCTTCGAAGTATATACATTGTTAATGATTAAGTTTTTCTCTTTTTTTAACTACAAAATAGCAATTTAGGGTATTTCATTTAAATTAATAAGAAGCAATTCACTTTAAAAGGCTGAACTGCTATTTTGAGTGTGCTCTACTGTGTTAGTTGGTGATTGTGTATTCTACTCACAAATGGACTTCATAAGCTGTAAGAGTCTGAATTGTGACTTCTATTGAGTGTAGATGTTATATATCACATCAACAGACTCT